AATATTTAAATTCAAACACGCACGAACTGTCATTTAAATATCATGTGGGTGTAACTATAAACCTATAGGTTTTAAATATATATTGGGTAGGTATATACTAGGACATCGACAAAAATCTTTGTTTTTATCAAGGCTCTCAAGTATACACATCAAGATCAACTATCAAGTAGGTACGATGGTCGTATAAATGTATAATATGATAATTACTAATTATACGTAAATTGTATAATACGTATTATACGATTATTACGATCACAACGGATAAAAGATAACTCCCCTGAGGCACCACTTTATACCTAAGTACGTCTATATAACCGGAATAACTGCACGATTGTCGTTCATACGAGATATTAACGTGAACGCGTAAAACAATACTGCATATAATATTATTTACAGCATGTACCTATAGGTATTAAATTGTTACTGTAATTTATTTTATGTTTTCGCAGCGTATATTACTATATTATTCTGTCCTCTACATTAGTGTATGTAGGTATAGCCGTATAGGTATGGATATATGATTCGGCAACAAAGTAGCTAATAGCCAGAGCTGGGCATAATTTTAAATCCTTTGGATTTTCAAAATCCAAAATCCATCCCGGATTTTAAATTTTAAAAATCAATTTAAAAAGGATTTTGATTTTTGATTTGATTTTAAAATACCATTAAAATGATTTGGATTTTCGAGTTGTCAGTTTTTATTTTTTAACATCAACTTAGATAATATTTTTTTATACTTTTATACTTCATAGGTTTTAACAATTGATAAAAAAAAAATGTGATAATATAGGTACATCAACCTATTACCACAGTTATTAGATATAATTGTATAGATACATATTAACCGTACAAAATTTACCAAAAGTATTAATACTTAATATTCCTATCATAGACCTATAAACTAATGGACAGCGTTTAGAGAGAGAGGTCAGGGGTACGATATACAGTATATTTAGTTTCATACGTCTGTGATTTCCCCCATTATGTTTTTTCTCTCTTTCTCTTATATGATTGGCCACCAAGATTCCCCCAATATGTTCTTTCTCACTCACTCTATATTGGCGCCACTCATTGATGGCTGGGTGGTGAGTGAGGTGCAGTCCATTAGTTTATAGCCTATAGGTATATGATTCCTATCATGTCATATCATATTGTATTGCTATAAATAGATAATAAGGCCAGTAATGGCTATAATTTATAAATACATAATGTGGTCATTGGTCATATACTGTCATGGAGCATGCGTTTCAACAATACGGTGATCTATGTATTCTAATATTTATATTGGTAATCTATTTTTATTATTTTTATTTTATAATTTATATTTAATTTAAAAAAAGTCGCTCTGCTGTAGAGTAGGTTACAAGTGGGTCACTGTAATTGATGGTGTCAAATTGAAATTCAATGATATAATATCATTGTATAAGAAAAACGATTCTGAGCGAAACGGTCAGTCAGCCTATGATATTAAGAAGTAATCTATTTTTAAATTTTCATTCCTTAGCTATAAATATTGAACATTTTATAAACTTTTAACTACAAAATTATTATTAAATTTTAAATGTGATGAATTTTGTCAAAATTTGAACTTTAAATGCTTATAAAAAAAAATTGTGCCTATATGTATTTTTTTAATATTTTTCAACTGCTATTGTAACAATATATCAGGAGCTTTGAATTACATTTTCTTTTGTTTAAAATTTAATTTTAGTTTCTTATAGACATTTTTTTTTATAAAGGTAGACAAACCTTTGAGGAATCTTGTATTACATTTTCAAATCTTAGATTTAAAAAGAAAATTTTTTATGAATTTCTAACTTCAATTTGCAAATTTTCGTCATTTTTACGTATTTTGTCAATATTTCAACTTTAAATGCTTATAAAAAAAAAATTTGACCATGGATTTTTTTTTTCATTTGTCTTTGAAAAAATATACTGGGAGCCTTCTATTAAATTTTCAAGCTTTTTTAACCAACAAATACAATTTTAATGATATTTAAAGAAAAAGAAACTAAAAACAATATATTGAAACTGAAAATGTCGACCGTAAACAGTTCGTAAACAAAATAATCAAAATGTTATGGCGTATAGAATATGCTAATGTAAACATTCGGTCAAAATTTCATGTACCTACGGTCATTTGTTTAAGAGTTGCACCAAAAACCAAAATCGATTTTTTTGAAAACAGATTTTGCGTACAAATTATCGCTTTTCCTTAATTTTTCTTTTGTTTTTCAGGGCGTTTTTGAAAACTACTGGAACATTTTTACTTTTGACCCCCTCATAGTACCAACTAGATTCACTTTAATATCAGAAAAGATTCTGTTGAGAAAATCTAAGCAATTTTACTGTCCTAAAAGGTGATGACAGACACAAAAAATTAAAAAAAACACACATCATTGTAAAATCAATACATTCATCATTTCACTCAGAATCTAAAATATTTGATCATAAACTTGAGTACTTGACTATTTAACATTAACAAATGTAAAATGTATATACTATCCATATAGCCATATAGGACTTTATATTTATTTAATTATAGTAAACAAATTATGGTCTATAGGTTATAGGTATTGCTATAAACAATGAACATTAGTCAATAGTTGTTCTAGTTATATTCCAAACGTACCTACTGTATAGTGTGTAGAGTGTATTTTATTAATTATAATTAGTTTGATTATTACATGAAAAACATTTAAATTACTTTAAACATGTTCCAATATTAAATTAAAAAAATAAAATTTATTATAGTTAGTAAAATTGATGGAATTATAGATTAAAATGACTAAAAAAATTGTTTTTTTTGGACAATTCAATTTTTAAATATTTAGCCGATTATTGTTAAGGTGCGGATTTTGGATTTTCGGATTTTGAAATAATTGATTTTAAAGATTTTGGATTTGGATTTTCAAAATAATTTTTTAAATGATTTGCATTTAAGGATTTTTAAGGATTTTCAAAATCTTTTATTCGGTAATTTTGGACTTGGATTTTAAAAATCATTTTTCAAGGATTTTGCCCAGCTCTGCTAATAGCTATACCTACAGGTAATCTATGTATATACACCTAGGTATATAATATATAGGTAGATTGTAGATACGTGATACCTGGTTATAAATCAACTGGTAACCTTCGTCATATTTTGCGGGTAAATAGCATAGTATCGTGTATAGTTATATGTTTACGATTTGTTTGATCGTAGAGGAAACTGGAAGGAGAGGTAAAGACGTAAAGTGACCACCCTAAGGTTCATTGAACTTTTTGATGGTAATTGATGGTTTTGGTAATAATGTATACAAAATGTGAGGGCAACTGGCACATTCAGTTGAGGGCAACTAGTACATTTTTTGTACGTCGAAATAGCCACTGAGGTCAACTGGTCAAAGCCCATTTCTGGATCCTTTATGATAGCTAGATTGGTCACTTTGCCGAAACGAAAACTTCGCCACTAAAAAAATATGGTGTAGGATCTAATCTAAACGGATGCAAAGCGTATATACAAGCAAACGTCGTTTGAAGGCTTATATAATATAGAAGATTCTGATCAAACTACGTTAGATGATCAAATCAAAATCATAATTAATATTTATCTGTTATTAAAATTATTCATAACTTCCTTAAAATCAGCGAGGCGAAAAGTCGAAAAAATAATATTATATCAACACGTACGTTACTCTGGGACCTGTAAGTCAGAATTTTCCCCAAAAAATACATCGTTAATTACTAATTAGTAACCAATTCGTAACCATCCATTTGGAATTTGAAAATTAATTTTCAACCTGGAAAATTAAATTCTCTCCCAGAGGTGCTGCGGTAAAGTAACACTACTCACTAGCAACTCCCCTCCCCCCAACCATAAATAAAAATGCACTTATTTCAATAATATTGATTAATCATAATATTGTACTATTTTTTAGTAATTGATTCGTAAGTCGTAACCATTCGTATTACTACAATTTCGGGGGTAGCATCTAGGTAGGTACCTTATTAATAATAAGTTATTACTTATTATATAAGTATAACGAGCCAAAAATAAATAATAATACGATGTACCTATATGGTATAGTAGGTGTCTAAAAGTTATAACATCTGTTACAACATCAAAACCCAGCGTCCACTTGATTGTTACCACGGTTTAAGATGTAGTATACAGTATAGTAATAGTATAATAGGTATAGACTATAATATAATAATTTAAATCGTGATAGTTGTTACGCTACACAGAGAAGGCAAAGACGCGCCTTTAGGAAAAATGAAAAGAAAAAGATTTTTGAACACCCTATAATAATATTAATAAATTACTAATATAATATAATATATTATATACCATATTATGTTATGACTTATGGTAAAAATACCTAAACCGCCTTACCGGAAAATATTAGATTTCACGATTTCAGAGACTGGCGTCGGTAAATGTCCGAATTTAGGTCATTTAAACGCATAGACAATTATATATTAATTGTATATAAAAAATTTGACTACCTTTAAGATATTTATTTTTTGTAAGAACTTATATTGAACTATGTATTGAGATTCGAGCTTTTTCACTTACGAATATAAATGTACCTACCTAATCGGAAATAAATTAGAAAGAAATCAAACCATGGAGTAAACCGTGTCCCCATGATACATTTTAGTCCGTGCTATCAGAATATAATATAAAAGTAATTTATGATCGACGATCCGATCACACTGTTCGTCTGTTTATGATAACGTTCATTGTATGCACCACGGATAATATAAGATAATATATGTCCGTGGTATGCACAATATTATGGTATATACCCATAGGCCATGATAGACATCAATGGATATACCACTAAATTTATCTACATCGTCCCGACTTCCGATTAGTGATTACTGATTACAATTATGTGTGTCATGCCTGCTCGATTTATTATTATTTTACGTTTCGAAAATCATTCCTAATTTAGTATTTACAGTTAAACGATATATTTCTTGATCTTGACAGTTGTCAGTGTTAAATAGTCAAAATGGTGGTCAAAGAAATCATGAATGATTCTCAGTTTCAAGAAGAATTAAACGCAAATGGCATGAAGCTGGTCGTCGTTGACTTCTCCGCTACATGGTGTGGTCCTTGCAAACGTGTCGCGCCTCTTTACGACGAACTGTCAAACAAGTATGACCGTGCAGTGTTCCTTAAAGTGGATGTTGACAAATGCCAGGAAACTGCCGCCAGTCAAGGCGTGTCGGCCATGCCGACTTTCATACTGTATCGCAATAAGGTTAAAGTGGCAAAGATTCAGGGTGCCGATATCGCAGCCGTTGAATCAAAAATCGTACAACTGTATGAAGCAGCATGTGCTGCTTCTGGCGAAGACTGTGGAGTACCCGGTCAGATGGACCTTAACTCATTCATTATGAAAACTCAGTGTGAGGCCTTAAATGATTCAGATGACCATCCACTGTCAGCTCTTATCGAGAACAGTGGCTATATTGAATCAGATTGTGACCAGCAACTTATTTTATCATTAACTTTCACACAATCTGTCAAAGTGCATTCTATCAAAGTGAGTTAACCATTAATAATAGGCAGTAACAAATAAGTGATCGTATTGACTGACTAATGACTACTGCTTTAACGTGTATCTCAGTAAACTAGTTCTATATTCTACAATATTTGTTTGGCATTTTTATTAAATCTATAAGTTTCTTTGCACTTTATTTGTAATGCATACTTCTTAATGTCTGATTTAAATAATAAAGTTCATTAAACCACAAACAGAAAATACTAAAATAAACCAATGAAAAGATCTAAATTATACTGTATGAAATTAAGTCTAATGTCTATTAAAAAATCTATGATCGTTTAAATTATACTAATAATATGTAGTTAATAATTTTTTTCTTTGATTGTTTGTATGACCTATTTTAAAATATAATCTTAATATTATTTTTTTTTGTTATTATTTAGGTTAAAGCTCCTAAAGATAACGGACCAAAATCGTTAAAGTTGTTTATTAATCAGCCAAACACCATAGATTTTGATGCTGCAACATGTAATTTAGCCACACAAGAACTTGAATTAAAACCAGATGAATTAGATGGAAAAATTGTGAACTTGAAATATGTAAAATTCCAGAACGTCCATAATCTACAGATATTTGTTGTAAATAATCAAACTGATGAGGAAGTAACAAGAATAGATAGCTTGGATATTATTGGAATGCCTATATCTACAACTAATATGGGTGATTTCAAGCGTGTTGCTGGTAAAGTGGGAGAAGCTCATTAAAAGTGATGATGTATATTATTTAAAAACCATAATATGATGTGTGTACCAAATTAACAATCTAAAAATAACTAATTATCATATACCACTTTTTTTACTCTCAAAAATTATAATATATAATTATAAATACATTTTTTATGTTGAAAATAAAACTCATATTTGTAAAAGAAAATTTATTCAAGAACGTTTTACCAAGTAAAAAATATCATCTGGCTTAAAGTCTTTATTTAATATTACATCCTTTGAATTTAATATTTCATTATATTCTTCCCAGAAACTATCACCTATAATATCTACATGTAATGGACATATGACATGTTTCTTGGATTTAGATGGAGGTAAATTTACAAGTTTTCTTACTAACACTGTACCTTTTCTATAAATTGGTAACTCATTATTATAATTAGTTCCACACTCTTTAAATAATATTTCATTTTTTTCTGACGACACTGTCCCACTCAATACTTTTTCAGCCTAAAACAAAAATCCAAGATTACTAATTATTCCATCAAAAAAATGTATAAAGTTCCTGTTTTACTTAAAATTAGTACCTCATTATTTGATAATCCTTTCATTGAAATAAGCCCCCAAAATGCTGTGTTGTACAAATTATTTATATGGGTATCTGCTTGACGCCAACTTAGGTAATCACGTAAATTTTGATCAGTTGGATATAAAACAATTCGAGCATCAAATGATGGTGGATATAAAAGTTTTTTATCTTCAAAATATGTATTCCAATAGTATACATATGATGAAGAAAATATGCTGTTAATCGCTGACATAATTTTTGACTGCCGTCTATTGTAAAGATCTGTATTTTTTCTGAGAATAAAACTATATTCATCACTCTGTCCATAAGCTAATGACACATCTCTGAATTCTTCCATAACTGCTGCAGCAGATCTGTTCATTAATTCTAAAGCTCTTTTATCATTTGGTTTTTCAAATTTGTGTGAGGATGTAAACCTATTAACAATAATATTTTAAATGTAATAAATTAAAATTCTCAAATTATTTATACAAGACTACAAGAATATCATTCACTTGATACCAACAACAATAATGTAATACAAGAATGAATTAATACTTAGTAGATGGTTGGTTTAAGAACCCAACAAAATTAAAAATTTTAATTACATATGTGAATTGCCATCTTAGGACACTGCTGTATCAAGGGTAATTGTGGGAGGGGAATCCTTCCTATGAGCGCTGTTGGTATAAGGGTATTCTTGCATTTTTGAAAAAAGCCAAGAGTATTTTATTTATTAAAATTGTTTATTTCAATTATTTTTGATTACGGTGTTGATTTCAGATTTGTCGTATAGTTAATACTTATTTGTTTTTTACTCCCTATTCTTGTCAAATTGTTCATAAAACCAATGGATTTAAATTTAATAAACTAAGTATTTTTTTTAAAAATTTTTAGGAGGATATTATAAACTTTATAATTTATCATATTCATATTAAGCTTAAAGTTTAATATTTATGTATAAAATATACTTATTAATTGGTTTTTAAAAATATTTTCCCTCGGGGAGTGACTAGTAGTTAAGCCAAAGGCACTAAATTTTAACTATTTAAGGCGTTAAATATCCAAGATCTGATACTGTCTGAAAAAGAGGTACAAAAAAGCTGAAACAATGAAACACCCAGCATTACTCTAAATCAATAAGAGTAGAGTAATATTTTTGATATAAGTAGTAAACTAGCAATCTTACTAGAGGCCATATATTTTACATAACAGTCATGTTAGCGTATTATCAATATAAATACCAACTGAAATAAGTAATTCATATCAAACAGCCTACTATTTCACCATTATTTTATCATACTATAAAAAGAAAAGATAAAATATAGTTAAAATTAAAAGAAATAATAATGAGAATTATTGGTATACATTATACACAGTGGCGTAATTTGACCATGGTTGTGGGGGGGATGAAATGTATGTACATTTCACCAATTACCCCCCCCCCCCTCCCACAACATTTTTTTTTAATCATATAAGCAATAAGCACCTCTCAATACAAGTATACAACCATTATGATCTGTATGTAATATTAGTATACACTATACATTAAAATAAATAATAACATAAATACATAATATTTAGATATTCACATTTGGGTACATTAAATTTATTGATACCTAGGTCCTAGATACTTGGTACAGTTACATCACAAATCACAATAAAAGATCCACTCTATGTGGTCTTAATGCAAATTCATTAAGCACTTCTTCAGAGTCGATTTTGATATTTTTATGAACATAGCAAGACCATTTAATCGATTCTGTGGAGCAAAAAAATAAAGCATTATACTTTAATTAAATCTCTACCACAGAAAGTATATTATGAAAATATTGAATTTTGAGATTCGGGTGATTTTTGCATTATCTATAAAATATACATTAATGAAATTAGTACATAAAAAAAGACGATAAAAAAAAAAAAAACGGTCATGGGGGGGGGGTCCGTAATTATGCCACTGATTATACATATTACACTACATTAATTGATCGCATGTATTGATGTATCAATAATATGAATAAATCAATTTGAAGTTTAAAACAGACCTATGAAACGAACGACCATCCAACCGCACAACAATCCAACAATTCTGTAAACATCTGTCTTCAAACTCAAATGATCGCACATATTCGTACTTGCTTTTAGCCATTGCTTTTGAGGTACTGAATTCCTTAGCGTATATATGCAAAACTCTGTGCCTATAAATAATTTATTTACATAATTACATGCGAAACAAGTTTCAAATAATTCTCTTCAATACACAAACATGAAATTACAAAATAAAAATTAAATTTTTTTAAATCATCTAGAATGAATCTTGTAAGAATTATTGATGAAATTTGAATACGACTGAAGTCAAGTGCATAATTATTTATTATGTAGTTCTTTTCAAATGGTTTCAGTTAACAGTTATTTATTTTTAATTCCGTAAGAACACCTATACATACTCACATGTCACGCCAAGGCGACCTACGTTTGTGAATACGATCAAATAATGTAAAAAATACTTACCAATCACGTAGACTCATCACGGGTGTGAAGTTGGGGGACTATAGCTAGGGGACTATTTTCTCGGACGATTAGTGATAACAGGTCTTGTGTGCAAGGTTGCGTTTTATTATATTAAAGGCACTCACCAAATGTACAACCATCAACCACAAGATGGCGCCATGAAATTCATTACTTAGTATTGTAAATAGTAATATAATAATATATTACATAGTAATAAGCGACCGAACAGCCCAGGGGACTATTTTTTCGTACTGCCTATGTACGATCGGGTGTGTGGTTTTTAATTTTTTTGACCAAGTTCCGGAAGGTGGCGCCGCATTAAACCTATATATTCGGAAAGCCAGGAAAATTCTCTATAAGACGTTTATACTTTAAAAATGTTCAAAGCTTTCGGGGTTATAGTAATAAGCGACCGAACAGCCCAGGGGACTATTTTTTCGTACTGCCTATGTACGATCGGGTGTGTGGTTTTTAATTTTTTTGACCAAGTTCCGGAAGGTGGCGCCGCATTAAACCTATATATTCGGAAAGCCAGGAAAATTATCTATAAGACGTTTATACTTTAAAAATGTTCAAAGCTTTCGGGGTTATAGTAATAGGCGACCGAACAGCCCAGGGGACTATTTTTTCGTACTGCCTATGTACGATCGGGTGTGTGGTTTTTAATTTTTTTGACCAAGTTCCGGAAGGTGGCGCCGCATTAAACCTATATATTCGGAAAGCCAGGAAAATTCTCTATAAGACGTTTATACTTTAAAAATGTTCAAAGCTTTCGAGGTTATAGTAATAAGCGACCGAACAGCCCAGGGGACTATTTTTTCGTACTGCCGGGTGCAAGTACCTATGCGCCGTTTTTAATTTTTTTGACCAAGTTCCGGAAGGTGGCGCCGCATTAAACCTATATATTCGGAAAGCCAGGAAAATTCTCTATAAGACGTTTATACTTTAAAAATGTTCAAAGCTTTCGAGGTTATAGTAATAAGCGACCGAACAGCCCAGGGGACTATTTTTTCGTACTGCCGGGTGCAAGTACCTATGCGCCGTTTTTAATTTTTTTGACCAAGTTCCGGAAGGTGGCGCCGCATTAAACCTATATATTCGGAAAGCCAGGAAAATTATCTATAAGACGTTTATACTTTAAAAATGTTCAAAGCTTTCGGGGTTATAGTAATAGGCGACCGAACAGCCCAGGGGACTATTTTTTCGTACTGCCTATGTACGATCGGGTGTGTGGTTTTTAATTTTTTTGACCAAGTTCCGGAAGGTGGCGCCGCATTAAACCTATATATTCGGAAAGCCAGGAAAATTATCTATAAGACGTTTATACTTTAAAAATGTTCAAAGCTTTCGGGGTTATAGTAATAGGCGACCGAACAGCCCAGGGGACTATTTTTTCGTACTGCCTATGTACGATCGGGTGTGTGGTTTTTAATTTTTTTGACCAAGTTCCGGAAGGTGGCGCCGCATTAAACCTATATATTCGGAAAGCCAGGAAAATTCTCTATAAGACGTTTATACTTTAAAAATGTTCAAAGCTTTCGGGGTTATAGTAATAAGCGACCGAACAGCCCAGGGGACTATTTTTTCGTACTGCCGGGTGCAAGTACCTATGCGCCGTTTTTAATTTTTTTGACCAAGTTCCGGAAGGTGGCGCCGCATTAAACCTATATATTCGGAAAGCCAGGAAATTCTCTATAAGACGTTTATACTTTAAAAATGTTCAAAGCTTTCGAGGTTATAGTAATAAGCGACCGAACAGCCCAGGGGACTATTTTTTCGTACTGCCGGGTGCAAGTACCTATGCGCCGTTTTTAATTTTTTTGACCAAGTTCCGGAAGGTGGCGCCGCATTAAACCTATATATTCGGAAAGCCAGGAAAATTATCTATAAGACGTTTATACTTTAAAAATGTTCAAAGCTTTCGGGGTTATAGTAATAGGCGACCGAACAGCCCAGGGGACTATTTTTTCGTACTGCCTATGTACGATCGGGTGTGTGGTTTTTAATTTTTTTGACCAAGTTCCGGAAGGTGGCGCCGCATTAAACCTATATATTCGGAAAGCCAGGAAAATTATCTATAAGACGTTTATACTTTAAAAATGTTCAAAGCTTTCGGGGTTATAGTAATAGGCGACCGAACAGCCCAGGGGACTATTTTTTCGTACTGCCGGGTGCAAGTACCTATGCGCCGTTTTTAATTTTTTTGACCAAGTTCCGGAAGGTGGCGCCGCATTAAACCTATATATTCGGAAAGCCAGGAAAATTATCTATAAGACGTTTATACTTTAAAAATGTTCAAAGCTTTCGGGGTTATAGTAATAGGCGACCGAACAGCCCAGGGGACTATTTTTTCGTACTGCCTATGTACGATCGGGTGTGTGGTTTTTAATTTTTTTGACCAAGTTCCGGAAGGTGGCGCCGCATTAAACCTATATATTCGGAAAGCCAGGAAAATTATCTATAAGACGTTTATACTTTAAAAATGTTCAAAGCTTTCGGGGTTATAGTAATAGGCGACCGAACAGCCCAGGGGACTATTTTTTCGTACTGCCTATGTACGATCGGGTGTGTGGTTTTTAATTTTTTTGACCAAGTTCCGGAAGGTGGCGCCGCATTAAACCTATATATTCGGAAAGCCAGGAAAATTCTCTATAAGACGTTTATACTTTAAAAATGTTCAAAGCTTTCGGGGTTATAGTAATAAGCGACCGAACAGCCCAGGGGACTATTTTTTCGTACTGCCGGGTGCAAGTACCTATGCGCCGTTTTTAATTTTTTTGACCAAGTTCCGGAAGGTGGCGCCGCATTAAACCTATATATTCGGAAAGCCAGGAAAATTCTCTATAAGACGTTTATACTTTAAAAATGTTCAAAGCTTTCGAGGTTATAGTAATAAGCGACCGAACAGCCCAGGGGACTATTTTTTCGTACTGCCGGGTGCAAGTACCTATGCGCCGTTTTTAATTTTTTTGACCAAGTTCCGGAAGGTGGCGCCGCATTAAACCTATATATTCGGAAAGCCAGGAAAATTATCTATAAGACGTTTATACTTTAAAAATGTTCAAAGCTTTCGGGGTTATAGTAATAGGCGACCGAACAGCCCAGGGGACTATTTTTTCGTACTGCCTATGTACGATCGGGTGTGTGGTTTTTAATTTTTTTGACCAAGTTCCGGAAGGTGGCGCCGCATTAAACCTATATATTCGGAAAGCCAGGAAAATTATCTATAAGACGTTTATACTTTAAAAATGTTCAAAGCTTTCGGGGTTATAGTAATAGGCGACCGAACAGCCCAGGGGACTATTTTTTCGTACTGCCTATGTACGATCGGGTGTGTGGTTTTTAATTTTTTTGACCAAGTTCCGGAAGGTGGCGCCGCATTAAACCTATATATTCGGAAAGCCAGGAAAATTCTCTATAAGACGTTTATACTTTAAAAATGTTCAAAGCTTTCGGGGTTATAGTAATAAGCGACCGAACAGCCCAGGGGACTATTTTTTCGTACTGCCGGGTGCAAGTACCTATGCGCCGTTTTTAATTTTTTTGACCAAGTTCCGGAAGGTGGCGCCGCATTAAACCTATATATTCGGAAAGCCAGGAAAATTATCTATAAGACGTTTATACTTTAAAAATGTTCAAAGCTTTCGGGGTTATAGTAATAGGCGACCGAACAGCCCAGGGGACTATTTTTTCGTACTGCCTATGTACGATCGGGTGTGTGGTTTTTAATTTTTTTGACCAAGTTCCGGAAGGTGGCGCCGCATTAAACCTATATATTCGGAAAGCCAGGAAAATTATCTATAAGACGTTTATACTTTAAAAATGTTCAAAGCTTTCGGGGTTATAGTAATAGGCGACCGAACAGCCCAGGGGACTATTTTTTCGTACTGCCTATGTACGATCGGGTGTGTGGTTTTTAATTTTTTTGACCAAGTTCCGGAAGGTGGCGCCGCATTAAACCTATATATTCGGAAAGCCAGGAAAATTCTCTATAAGACGTTTATACTTTAAAAATGTTCAAAGCTTTCGGGGTTATAGTAATAAGCGACCGAACAGCCCAGGGGACTATTTTTTCGTACTGCCGGGTGCAAGTACCTATGCGCCGTTTTTAATTTTTTTGACCAAGTTCCGGAAGGTGGCGCCGCATTAAACCTATATATTCGGAAAGCCAGGAAAATTATCTTTAAGATGAAAATAAGTCTAGGAGCTACAAAGCTTTCGGGGACATAGTAAAATGCGACCGAACAGCCCAGGGGACTATTTTTTCGTACTGAATAGGAACGGGCGGGTATGCCGTTTCTAAATATGATTATATTTTTTGTTTTTATCATGTAATGGTCTAGAATAACAAGGAAATAATCGGCAGATGGCGTCCCATGGTTCGTTTTATTAGATTACACTATAATACAATAATATTTTCTACAATAAATTGTATTCCTTAAAAAGGTTGGTAAGTGGATGTCGCTCTGCTGTTATTTTGGCGTACGGCGATTCGAAAAGGAACAAAGGTCAAAGTGCAAAAAGTTAAAAAAGCATTATGTGATTATGAGATTAGTGCAGCCATATATTTCCTTATGGTATATGTCCGTTTAACATTTTGAGTTATAATTATTTTGAACTTTTCTTGTCATATTTACAAATTTAACGTTTTACCATTAGATCCGTGCTGTTAGTGTGTTTGATTGCCATAGTGGTAGTTTCTAATTTTAAATAAAATTAATTAATAATTGTTGGTACCTATATAACATTATCTAATAAAAATTCAACCTATTTTTGTGATAATATTATGTATAATTTTATATCTTCACATGTTTTTTTATATTTCAATGGTTTTTTGCCAAACCACATTTTAATCATTATTTTCTACATTCTACACAGACACACAGTAAACAATATGTTTTGGTTGATATTTTTTTTTCAATCGTAGAATACATATTCTTTTCGTGGGGTTTTCGGATTGATGTAAAATGTACCTATATATATATATATTTATATAAATATACACACAATATAATCA